TTGCCCAGTCCAAGAGTCATATTGGAAAGTGTCTCTGGGGCCTTGAGCCAGGAGTTGGGTCTGGTTTCTGTCAAACCAAAGGCAGCCAGGCAGCTGCTTTCCTAGCTCCAGTCCCCCAGTTGCTAGATTTCCCTCCAGAAACTAGGCATCCAAACTTTTTAAAATAAAATAGCTCCCCCCCCCCCCCCCCCCCCCCCCCCGCCCCCGCCACCACGGGCTTGCTAAATTACCCAGGCTGGCTTCAAACTTGTGATCCTGATGCTTTAGGCTCCATAGTACCTGGGATTACAGGGGCACACCATCATGCCTGGCACCTATTTGTATTGTAAATGTCAACAACTTATTCCACCAGGTCAAACGAGGGTGGGCATTGGGCCAGATTTGGCCTCTGATGGGCAGTTTCCGACTTATGCATTGACTGGAATTTTTGCTACTAGTCTCAGAAGTGAAAGTGGGCTGAAGGATGATCCAAGAGTCTGGGGTAGTAACAGAAGCTCCCCTTTTACCAAACTGGTCAATGTGCGTCCCGGGACTCTAATCTCTTCTAATCTCTTCTCTTGGTTTGAGTCAAGGAACAAAACTCAAAGCCAAACCCCTGCATCCTCCTTCAGAGGAACTGTGATAATAGACAGATGTTCTCCTAGTGGGCTGCACTCACCCTCCATAGCTCCCACAGTGCTAGCAGTCCCGAGTGCTGATTGGCTGGGATGCTGGTTGCTAGGGCGACCTCTGGGGCGGGGCAAAGAAGTCCAAAGGCTGTGTGAGCTCCGACTTGGGAGATATTCCAAGTGCTGGGCACCAAGAGGACTCGCTGGTTTATATCCCGTCTGGCCCAGCCCAGGATGACCAGTGAGGGCGGGGCCAGACAACTGCACCCCGAGGCCCTGGGCCAGGACTCCAGGTCTGAGATACAGCAAGTTATGGGAATCTGGAGTCCAATAGCGTCCCCTGGATGTGGAAGTCAAGAAGGTTCCCCTTGGGTCCAAGGGAGTCTGAAGGATCTGGGTGGGTGTGGGAGGCAGGTTCATCCACACCACATTCTAGGACCCCTGAGGATGCAAAAAGGAAAATTTCCCATGGAGGTCCTGCCTCTGTTAGATGTTTGGGTCTGGACACTCCCAGTCACAGAAAAAGACCCTTGGCACCCAAAGGGGTAAACAAAAAATTACACGAGGCTGACTGTGATCCTTTTGTCTCAGATTCTGCTGAGTCACCATGACTCCGGACTTGAGAGGGCTGAGAGCAGCAGGGACACTTGCTCCCATGGAAATGAGTGAGCTTCTTTGACCAGGTTCAGCTTTTGCACCGATGGGGCAGAGGGGCATAGAATGCACTTCCCTGCGCCTCACAGCTAGGGGAATGAACCAGTTTTGCCTCCCTAGAGCTAGGTTGGGCTAGGCGGGTGAGGGAGATAGCAGCTATGGGAAAGGATCACGGAGGCAGATGAAAGTTTAATGGCTTCACACATAGCTTTACTGAGGATTTGAAACCGAAGAGCAAAAGTTAAAAATCTTTGTAAGTAAAATTTACAGTAAAGTCATCCTATAGGATAGAGAGGAGACATACAGGATATTGCCCTGAATGTACATCCTACATGATACAGGGTCTAGAAAAAAGAAATTAAACTTGAAAGTGATAATTCTGAAGAATTATGGAGGGAAGGTAGTGGAGAGTACACAGGGCCCTCACCAGTGGTGTCAATTTTGAGGTGGTCCTGGAAAGCTTTGTCTTCAAGATAAATACTACTTGAATACACTGTTTCTGAAAATCAAAATCAAAATAAATACCAAAATACAAATCGTGAAGAACAAAATATTAAAATGGTAAAGACAGGATTAGTGACAGTGTTGTAGGGACAAATGAGGCAAGGCACTGAAGATAGCAGGAAACCGTTTTATTTGGCTGCAGTCAGGTTCAGAGGGCCTAGCTTTTGCTGTAATCAATTAATCCCCTGAACCCCGAGTTCAGGGAGTTTCAGAATTTTATACCCAGCATGTAAGGGGAGGGGCTCAGAGGTTCACAATCTGCAGAAGTTCACATAAAAGCAGCTTTTTCTTTCACTGTTCTGGGCAAGTTAACTCTTCAAGGACAACACCTGAGAAGGGGAGAGCTTCTTCTCCCCTTTCTCCCCCCCCCCCCCAGCTGTTACCATGGAGCCCATTTGTAACTTATCTTAAAAATATAGACATCTCTGTGAAGCCCAGCTCAAGGCCAGAGGCCTTGTTTGCACATATCTTCAAAGTACTATACTGGATATGTTTGTGAAAAACTAGTAAGGGGTGTCTAGCACCTGGAGTGCTGGTATCTTCTAGGCCAGTGGCAAAGTAAACAGGGCGACATGAAAATAGGAAGTTTATCTACATTGGACTCTTTTGCTGACAGTTCTAAAATCGGCCATGGTGAAGAGGGCTTTTCTGTGGAGAAAGGGGGTGCCACTTCAACAGTACCAAGCCATACTGAGCTTGATGATAACTCAGCTGGCTTTATTTAACATGTTGTAATTTTGTTTACCTTAAACTTTTTTCTTCTTTGGTCTTTTTTTTTTTTTTTAGTACTTCAGTAAAATTATCTCGATCATTGAGTTTTCTGGTGTCTCCTTAAATTTTGTGCCTGATGGGTGGAGCTATAGCTCAGTTGGTAGAGTGCTTGCTTGCCTTGAATGAACACCTGGGTTCAATCCCCAGGACCACAAAAAAAAAAAAAAAAAAAAAAATTATGCCCAAGGCAGCATTATCTTACTCCTTACTCTATTTCTCCATAATACAAAGTAAATTGATACTATCTAAAGTTAATAAATGGGGGCTGGGGATGTGGCTCAAGTGGTAGTGTGCTCGCCTGGCATGCGCACGGCGCTGGGTTCAATCCTCAGCACCACATACAAACAAAGATGTTGTGTCCGCCGAAAACTAAACAATAAATATTAAAAAACCAAAATAAAATAAAAATAAAGTTAATAAATGAAGAATTAGAGGCAAAAGCACATCATTAGAATGTAGCAATCTCCAGAATCATTAAACACCACATTTTCAAGTGTAAGAGTGAAAAATGATAGAGATGCCTATGTATGCATTTAAGAGTTAAAACTATAGTTGGGCTGTGGCACTCACCTATAATCCCAGTAACTCGGGAGGCTGAGGCAGGAGGATTGCAAGTTTGGGGTCAGGGCAACTTAGTGAGGCCCTAAGCAAGACCCGGTCTCAAAAAATAAAAAGGGCCTGGTGTGGTGGTGCACACCCGTAATCCCAGCAGCTCAGGAGGATCACAAAGTTCAAAGCCAGCCTCAGCAAAAGTGAGGCGCTATGCAACTTAGTGAGACCCTATTTCTAAATAAAATACAAAATAGGTCTGGGGATGTGGCTCAGTGATAGAGTGCCTCTGAGTTCAATCCCCGGTAGCTGCACACCCCCCCAGTAAATAAAATAAAAAGGGCTAGGGATATGGTTACGTGACCCTAGGTTTAATCACTAGTACCAAAAAATACAAATATAAAATACAAAAGGCCTGGGAGTGTAGCTCAGTGATAAATCCATTCTGGGTTTAATCACTAGTTACCCCCACCACCCCCCCAAAAAAGTGAAAATCATTCTCTAAGGGGCATGGAAGTTCAGTACAGAGGAAGAACTGGTCAGCAGGAGCTTCCTAAGGGACTTGAGATTTCAGCTAGACCACTTTAAAGGTATCTACTTCAAAATAGTATAAAAGGACATGTTAAAAAGATCTGGGCAGTATATTTGACCTTTGACTCTTAAGTACTTTCTTTTTCCTCTTCTTGGGAAGGTGTCTTGAAGCACCGAAAATGATTTAGTGTTTGACATCTGTCACAGGCTTTCCTACCATACAGCCTCCAACAAAACTCGGGTGTCCAGAAACCCTGGTGATAGAATTGTTTACCTTTTGTTTACCTTTATATCAATAAGGTGGGGAAAGCACCCAACCTTCGAGTGGTATGTGCTGGGCAGACTTCGAGGGAATCCTTGTGATACCTAACGTTCTTATGAGATTGTCTAAAATGAGAAAACACATCAGCGGGACTGTGGTGTTCCCATGTGTGCTAAGTATGCCCGTGACTGTCATCAAGCATGCCTTCCTCACCAAGGAGCTGAAAATTACTGTGAAGGTATTGAAAGCACAGGAGTTAGAAAGCTAAACTAAAAAAAGAAGCTTCTTTGAGTAATGAAAGGTCAAAAGGCAAAAAATAAAAATAAATGAAAAGGTCTTGTTAGCGTTGTCCAATAGAATGGTCATACTGTGCTGCCCAAATAATGTGGCTTCAAGTTACAAGTGGCTATTGAGCTGGGGTGGGGGCTCATGGACTGAGGGGTTGGCAGTGTTGGCTATTTTGTCCCCCTTCTCTCTTCTCTACCACTCTGCCCTGCCTACTATGTGTGTGCCCCTGGAGGCTGACTGCAGATGGCATTGCTTGAGCTTCCTTGTTCTCTGGCTTCCAGATGCGTAGCCTATGGGCTGTATCTGCAAAAGTTCAGGGGGCAAGAGAAGATTCTGCCACCTCTGCGCCCTGCCATCCTCAGAAGAGTCGCTCATATGGACAGCCCTTCCTGTGACTCCGACTCCCTGGGCCTCCAGTCACTGTGGTCCTCCCCTTTGTTTCTTCAGGCCAGTGTGAGGTCCTGGCTTCCCACTGCTCCTGGTCCTTGGGTGCCTCGCTGTTAAGGCCCTATTCTAAAATCCCTAATAAAACTCTGGGTCTTTTTGAAGTAAAGGCAAAGGATTTATTCTGGCCAGGACTGAGGAAGCAGAAAGGAGACAGTTCTGCAGCCCAAGACACTGAACTTGAAAATAGAAAAACCACAAAGGACGGGGGTGAGAGAGGCAAGTGCCATCAAAAATCACATTTCTCAGAATTCGCACCTCTTATACCTACTCAGGAAGTAAGCTAGTACCAGCTCCACAGTTTTTCTATGCAAGTGGCCTCTTACAGGAAGGGGGCCAACTTGGCACAGGGTGAGATGTCTGAACAGGATGAGGTCAGCCTCACTTACCTTTCAAATCAGCCTGGAACATCACCATCTCAATTTGGTTTCCTTGACTTTGTCCACACTCTTTTGAGTGTGCCACCTGCTTCCTGTCACACCATGACTGCTGTAAAGCCTTGAAAGACATTACCATTTCTTAGAAAGTGCTGACTGAGGTGCACCTGGGACAGCATCCTGAGAAAGACCCTTTAGATTCAGACCAAGGAGGCAGAGCAACTGCGTGTTACAGAGAGTGTGGGTGAGCACGAGGAGACAGGTGGACAGCTCTTACCAGAGGTATGTCTGTCAAGCAAAGATCAGAGAGACTGCAGTAGCTAGAAGGCCGTGGGTGTCAGAGGAGGGCGTGGGGCATGCTTGTCTGTGGTGAGTGGGTAGCGACATGCTTCAGGGCTTTTGCAGTGCGTGGGGTGTTGCCGGTGAAGATGCTGAGTCCTGAGATGAACTCCAGAGCACAAATGCAGCAACTGGGTTATTCTGGAGGAGGAATCTTCTTTTTGAGAGGAGGGCTTGTCCCGAATGCTGGGATGTTGAAGATTTGATGGGAGAACAAGGAGTTCCTAGACTGATGACTGTTTGGCCTGTGCCAACAAAAGTCAGGTCACTGGCTGAGAGTGAATGAGAGGTGGTGGCGATGAGTTCTGCAGGCTGCGTAGGTTAAGAGCACAGTCTGTCCCAAAACCGCTCTTGCTTTGGGTACAGCCATGAATTGGGGGATCCCTAATGCTGGGGATCAAACCCAGACCCTATTGTGTGCTAGACAAGTGCTCTACCACAGAGCTGTGCTCCCAGCCCTGAGAGGTACTTGTGCAAGAGTGGTATTTGATTGCATGTAAATTATTCCCCAATAAAGTCACTTCTTAAAAAGGAGAGTGGTTGCATTGGTGAATGATATTACAGGGCTGACTGACATCGGCCATATCAGAATGTGGAATATTCCACAGGATAACAACCTGGTTTAACCAATAATTCAATGCTATGAGAAAAGTGAGGAGGGGTATGTATTAGGAAGTGTTCTCCAGAGGAAACAGAACCAACAGACATATGTAAATACAGAAAGACATTTACCATGAGGGTTGGCTCCCATGATTATGGAAACTAAGAAGTTCCATGTTCTGCTGTCTGCAGGCTGGACACCCAGGAGTGCCAGGGTGTGTAGCTCCACCCAAACCCAAAGAGCTGAGACCCAGAGGAGCCAGTGGTGTTTGCCCTTCCCAGTGTAAAGGCCGTAGAATCAGGAACACTAATGTCTAAGGGTGAGAGAAGATGAATGTACCAGCTCAAGCAGAGGGAACAAATTACCTTTCCTCTGCCTTGTTCTATTCAGGCCATTACTGGATTGGATGATGCCCACCCACATGGGCAAGAACCATCTTTACTCAGTCTACTGATTAAAATGCTAATCTCATCAGTTGTGGTGGCACATGCCTATAATTCCAGCTATTTAGGAAGCTGAGGCAGGAGGATCACAAGTTTGAAGCCAACCTCAGCAATTTAGCAAGACCCTGATTCAAAATAAATAGAAAGGGCTGGGGATGTGGCTCAGTGGCAGAGCACACCTGAGTTTCTATCCCAGTATCAATCAATAAATAAATATAAAAAATGTAAACAAATAAATAAAATACTAATCTTTTCCAGAAACTCCCCCTAATATATGTCAGCATAACTTGGCTAAAGGATCCCAGATAGGGCTGGGGATGTGGCTCAAGTGGTAGCGCGCTTGCCTGGCATGCATGCGGCCCGGGTTCGATCCTCAGCACCACATACAAACAAAGATGTTGTGTCCGCCAATAACTAAAAAAATAAATATTAAAATTCTCTCTCTCTCTCTCTCTCTTTAAAAAAAAAAAAAAAAAAAAAGGATCCCAGATAGTTGATGGTGATGTAGGAACAGATGAGGCAAGACACGGAAGGCAGCAGGAAGCATATGTATTGTTGGTTATGGTTACCACCAGATTGAGAGGGAATGGCTTTCACCGTAAATAATTATTCCCCCTGAACCCCAAGTTCAGGCAGTTTCAGAACTTTATACCCAGTGTATAGTGGGAGGGGCTCAGAAGTTCACAATCTGCAGAAGTTCACACAAAAGCAGCTTTTTCTTTCACTTTTCTGGGCAAGTTAATGCTTCAGAGAAGAGGAGAGCTTCTTCTCCCCTTTCACAGAGCCTAATTAATAACATATTATCTTTAAAATGTAAACATCTCTGTGAAGCTCCTGCCTAAGGCCAGAGGTCTTGTTAAAGGATCTTATTTGCATTTATAGACACACTTCCAGTTTGAAAACTTTTACAAAATATTATGTAATTGTTACTATATTAGATAGTCCATAAATGTTTATGAAAAATTAGTAAAAAGGTGTTCAGCACCTGGAGTACTGATCTCTTTCAGGCCCAAGTCCAAGTAAGACAGAGTAACAGGAAATAGGAAGTTTAACTACATTGAACTCTCTCATATTCTTTTGCTGATAGTCCTAAGATCAATTTTGGTGAAGATTTCTGGAGACAATTAAGATTTTCTGGGGCTGGGGATGTGGCTTAAGAGGTAGCGCACTCGCCTGGCATGTGTGTGGCCCGGGTTCGATCCTCAGCACCACATACAAACAAAGATGTTGTGTCTGCCAAAAACTAAAAAAAAAATAAATATCAAAAATTCTCTCTCTCTCTCTCTCTCTCTCTCTCTCCCCCTCTTTCTCACCTCACTCTTTAAAAAAAAAAAAAAAAGATTGTGGAGGAGGGGATGCCACTACAGTGAAAGATAAAATTAAATGTCAGTTAATTGTGTTCATGAGATAAAACAAGCAAATGTATTGTTTGGATCTTGATGCAAACAAAAAATTGTAAAAATACATCTTTGAGAAAATTAAGGAATGACTATTATATGATCTTCAGAAATTACTATTCATTAGTTAGGTTGATAGTGGTGTGGTGATTAATTTACTATAGTTTGGACTGGGGATTGAATCCAGGGGTGCTCTACCACAGAGCCACATCCCCAGTCCCATTTTTTTTGGGGGGAGGGTATTTTATTTAGAGACAGTCTCATTGAGTACATGGTGATTCATTATCCTTTTTTTTTTGTACTGGGGATTGAACCCAGGGGTGCTTTACCACTGAGCTACACCTGCAGCCCTTTTTATTTTTATTATTTTTATTTTTTAAAGAGAGAGAGAATTTTTTAATATTTATTTTTTTTTTTAGTTTTTGGCGGACACAACATCTTTGTTTGTATGTAGTGCTGAGGATCGAACCCGGGCCGCATGCATGCCAGGCAAGCACGCTACCACTTGAGCCACATCCCCAGCCCCAGCCCTTTTTATTTTGAAACAGGGTCTCGTTAAGTTGCTGAAGCTAGACTCCAATTTGTACTCCTCCTGCCTCAGATACTTGAGTTGCTGGACATGAACCACTGTACCCTGCTGCCCTTTTTTTTTTTTGATAAGGAGTCTCACAAAGTTGCCCAGGTACTGGCCTTGAACTTGTGATCCTCCTGCCTCAACCCAACTAACTAGGATTATAGGCACATGCTACTACACACAGCTTCATTATCCTATTCTTAATTATATAGCCATTTGAAAGTTTACATTATAAAAAATTTCCAGCCACATGTGGTGGCACATGCCTGTAATCCCAGGGGCTGGGGGGCTGGAGGTGGCAGGGAGTGGGGGACAGGAGGCATGTGAGTTCAAAGCCAGCCTCAGCAAAAGAGAGGTGCTAAGCAACTCAGTGGGACCCTGTCTCTAAATAAAATACAGAATAGGGCTGGGGATAAGGCTCAGTGGGAGAGTGCCTGAGTTCAATCCCCAGTACTTTAAAAAAAAAAAAAAAAAAAAAAGGGTTAGGGATGTGGCTCAGTGGTTAAGTGCCCCAGGGTTCAATCTGTTACCAAAAAAAAAAAAAAAAAAAAACAAAACCCCAAAAATTTACAGAAAGACATTGGATTACTTGATGCTTTCAAATAAAATTTTACTTTGGAATAATTAAATATTTACAGAAAAGTTGTAGTACTCACATTTTACATACCTGTAAAACATATCAAATCTAAGGAATGAACTAACCTTCAGATTTGGGTTTTACTCTGTCCTCGTTTTCTCATCTGTACAAGAAGAATTTAGACTTTGATTTAAAAAAAATTTGTATTTTAGTTTTTTTAGAGTCTGACAGATTCTGTAATTTCTTTTTTTCTTTTCTTTTTTTTTTAAAGATAGAGTGAGAGAGAGAGAGAGAGAATTTTTTTTTTATATCTTTTTTTTTTAATCTTTTATGTGGTGCTGAGGATCGAACCCAGTGCCTCATGCATGCTAGGCGAGTACTCTACCACTGAGCCACAACCCCAGCCCAGAGAGAGAATTTTTTAATATTTATTTTTTAGTTTTCGGCAGACACAACATCTTTGTTTGTGTGTGGTGCTGAGGATCGAACCCGGGCCACGCATGCCAAGAGAGCGCGCTACCGCTTGAATCACATGCCCAGCCCATCTTTTTTTCTTTTTCTTTTTTTTTTTTTTAATTGTGTATGGACTCAATGCCTTTGTTTTTATGTAGTGCTAGGATCAAACCCAATGCCTCACACTTACGAGGCAAGTGTTCTCCATTGACCCACAACTCCTGTCCCATGATTTTGTGTTTAATCATTAATTTTTATTACTGAAATAATCCATGAGCACATCTTTTAAAAATATTTTTTGTTTGAATACTTAAAGAGAATTTTATGTATTTATTTGGTGCTGGGGATTGAACCTGACGTGCTTTCCCACTGAGCCACATCCCTAGTCCTTTTTATTTTTGAGACCATTTCTTGCTAAGTTGCTGAGGTTGGCCTTGAACTTGTGATCCTCCTGTCTCAGCCTGCAGAGCTGCTGGGATTGCAGGCTGTACTGCTGTGCCTGGCTTCTTTCTTCTTTTCCTTCTTTCCTCTTCCCCTTCTCCTCCTCCTTCCTCTTCTTTCTCCCCTTCCTTTTTTTTTTTTTAATGGAATATATTCTCCAATAGTTTCTAAGAAAGAATAAATGGAAAGTAAATTTTCTTACACATTGCATATCTACCTGCCTGCCTGTGTAGAATTCTAGGCTGAAAATTGTC